TAATATTGTTGAGCAAATTCAGTGAAAAAACTCAGCACAGAAAAAAATTACGAAGACTTGAACTGAAATTCTTACATGCAGAGAAGGATTTTTTTTTGGCTGTCATGCCAACAAAAAAATGCTCTCATGCTCTAATCTCAATTTTTTTCCTCAGTTTTACTTTTGCACAGACATCTTAAAAGCATAAATGGTAGGAGAATTAATATCTATTATCAGTACATAGAGTTTTATTACTTTTTGAATGTATAAACATTAACACATTTTAGTAGCTTTGTGCAATTGACTCAGATCTGTGAATAGCATCATCCAGTCATGCACTTGTAACTGTATTACTATGGAATGTTGTGAAGAAGCTTGCTCTCAAGCTGAAGGAAGAAAAACAGGCAACTGCCTTACAAGAGGAAAGTTCAGGAGTGAGCAAGATAAGAAACACAAGAAAGCTAAAACTTGTAAATTCTCTTATGTCCCAAACAGAAGAGAGCACTGAACTGCCCACACCTTACAGCAGAATATGAAGTGTAACACCTCAGAGAATCCCAATGACTGAACCCAGACAAACTGTGACATCTTAAGTAATGCACCAGCACTTGCTTTGCAGGGCTGAAATAAAAACATTCAGGATATTAAGGGACAGGCTGCTATTTTTCCTGGAAAAGATTGTTAAGAGCAAAACCAGCAAGCTGAAAGCAAAGGAAAGGTACAGAATTTGACAGCTATGACATCAAAAGTACCTGTGCACTTGAACATTTCAGGAAAATAGAATTGTATCTGAAAAGTTTAAGGTAGGAGACAGTTTTAGCAATAGCTCTCAGGCCATCGGATCACCTGAATCAAGTCAGAATGAAAAAGAGAGTACAGCACAGCATTTAGTGCGCTGTCAGTGGCCAATAACAGATACAGTACTTACTGAGCTGTGGTTTTGTTGTCATTGTCTGGCAGCAAGATCATTTGTTTTAATGACCTTCTGCCATCATGTGAAAGCAATAGCTCTTTCGATTGGGCGTGTGGTAAAATTAAAGGCTAATTGGTATTCCACTGACAATATACAGTAGGTGCCTCATTGTTCTGCTGACAAGATCTGATGGATGCTGCTTCAGGTTCAAAGGAAATTAGTTTGGTAGGAAAAAAAACCTGAAAACCCTGGCTGTGCCAGGTTTTCAAGTTATCTACTAGTGTTCTATTTCACAAGAGATATTATACCATCCAAATGTAATACATACCAGCCAGACAATAATGCTAAATATTATTGCCCAATAATAGGTCTCCTAGTTCTAGAAATGTTACAAGAAGTGTATCTAAAGTGTAATAAGTGCTACATGCAGTTTTAGAGTTTATCTGGTTAGGCACAATTAGTACAACACACTTTGGACACTATCTGTTCTGCAGAATGTAAACAAGCAGCTGTGGCATGTCCCAAGAGCTACCCAATGCACACGTTGCTATTTCTTTCCAGAAGGTGCCAGAGAGAAATACAGCAATACTTTTAATGTATAGATTATGCAGTAAACAACTCTATCTGTGAGCCAGCCTTTGTGTCAGAACAGGTTTACTTCTTGCATTACATTAATGGGATTCATAAAAGCTTTACTGGTCAGAACTCAAGCTTACATTAAAAACAGGCTTTTAAAATGGTATGAGAACACTGGATCTGGACTGAAGAATATAAATAAGCAGGCTTAGATTCTAAGATGCTGAGTGCTCATTAGCTTCAGTGATTTCAAAGGCATTTGGGCTTGAGAACTGATTTTAAACTTGGGATTAGGAAGACAATTTCACAAAGGCATGCCTTTCAATTTTCTTCTGTATTCAGCAGAGAACCGAAAATACAGTAAAAATTACAGCGCTCATACATGCTTTTTGAACCCCGCTTTTAACTGCCCTCACTTTGCAAAGTAACATGAACTCCAGAAATTTATTCCAATAGTACATTAAGCAGCTATGATTTCCATTATTACAATCCATTTTCAAAATATAGAAAATAAAGTGGCATCATTTTTCTCTTAGGACAAAGCAAAGCAAGGTACAAAAAAAGAAGCAGGCTGTGTCAAAGGGAAGGGTGGCCAACCATAAATCCAGTCCCGTGTTCAGCCCAAATAAAAGAGCCACAAGAAAGGTCATCCTAGCAAAACATCCCTTTTACAGGACACTGCACCTAAAGCTGGAGAGAATATGCTGCTACCACAAACATCATTCTTCACCACGTATTTTCTCATTGCAAAAGAGTGTTGGATGGTTGGCTCAAGTAAAAAGATGAAGGCAATCAGTATTGAAAAGCCCAGTGTTAACCTAGTGAAGTTGGCAGCCCACTTTTCCTGACTGAGCCAGGGCATTTGAGATTCAGGCTTCTATTTACACAATCAAATGTGTAAAAAATGGAACAAACAAATGAGGAAACTATTGCTTCTGTGTTTTTTAAAATACAACTTTTTCTAACTAAGCAGAAAGTTGTTGACTGAATAATTGCTACTCCTGTATTTTAGACACACACAAAACATGCACATTCTATGATACAGAATCTCTTTGGCAACTTTTAGAAGTAAAGAAAAGCTCTAAGCACCAGATGATAAACTGTACTCAGACATTTTAACTATTATATTTCTGTGGCACAGGCACAAAGGAACTGAATCGCCATCCTGGGATACCTTTTAATTATGTAGAAAAGTCTCCAGTGAAGACACATAATAACTTATGCTACTGAAAACATGCCATGCATGAATAAATGCTGTTACTCTCTTCCTTCAACATCTTTCAGTCAGTAACACCTACAAGAATGCATAAAATTATTGCATATTATTGTACTGTGTATATATAACCTTTCTGTATAACAAAGTGCTTTTTTTTTCTGCAATTCTGAAAAGATTTCTCTGGAAATCTTGGAAATCTCTGGAAATAATGTGTTTATATATTTTAATTTTTTTTTAACTCACTTTCTCCATATTCTTTTCAAGTATACATTACTGCTGCTTACACTCTTTTCCTGAAAACTCAGCCTTTCTGCATCTGAGATCTAATGCCACCACAATACCCAAACAACAATAATTGCTAGAATTTACCAAATCTCATTACCCAGTAGAGGCCAGGCTGTTGCTGCTCTGGATCCCACAGCTGGGAGGCTGAGCAGGTTTTCTCGAAAAAAGATGGAGATGCACAGTATCCACACAGAGCCAGTGACAGAGATGCACAGACCAAAACAGCCCTCATGCAATCACTACAGTACCAGCACCCACATCCTGTTCCCCCATCTGGATGATTAGGATGAAAGCCTGTGAGCAAGGACTGCATACATGGATATAATACAGATCCCTCCAGCAGCAGACTCCATCTGTCTAGTTACTGGCTGCTGGATCTTCTGGCGTCTCCAATTGCTGGCACCTGGAAATAAAAGCCCCTGAGGCCTGTAGCCCACAGGCTGCTGGCTCCCAGACCCACTGGAGCATGTGCACACATGCACACACTGACACACACCCTGTTTCTCTCTCTGGTCTTAGTCAATCTATACCCAGCTTCTGAATCCCCTGGCCTGACACTTGCCCCACGTACAAACTGGCTCTCTCACAGCCTCACCCCCTAATTCCATGGGTCCTTCCAACAGCTGGCATGGACCTCCGGCTTAATGTTCATTAGTAATTAATTACACACACGGATGTATACACCCACAATATGCAGGCACTCCAGTCTTTCCAGTTGCTGTCACTTCAGACACACAAACACCTATGACATACTTGCGGCCACCTGTCCAGTTGCTGGCACTCAGACCTCCGCACATTTGTCTTTCCAGCTGCTGGTGTCATAAGCAAGGGCCCCTGTAATTCCTAGTGTCCTCTCCAGCCACTGGGATTTACTTATCCACCCACACAGAACAGACAGACCCTCATCCACAAAGTTGCCAATGGAGTTCAGTAGCAAGGCTGGAAAATCTGCAGAGCATGTTCTTACCAGCACGTTGCAACTGGCCCTTATTGTCACCTCTTCCCTATCTTCTCATCTTTGTCCCTTCTCAAATCACCTTGATCTTCCTTTTACCCACCTTGATCTTTCCCCTAAACATTTTATAATAAGCCTTGCACAATCCCAAGAATCCCCGTCAGTGCGTCCCATAATGACTTCAGTGTCCTGCTCAGGGTGATGGGATGTCTGTAGTGATCCAGCCAGCTTCTCCCATTAACTTATCGGGTGAATTTCACACTTGGTCCCAAGGCTGATCCTTCTCCTTTGACAGTCCCAGATGCAGATCAGGACTTCTCCCTCGTGCTTATCCAGTGACTTGGTCACTGGAGTTTCCCCTCAAGTCGTGCTCCTCTGTGCTCACGGCCATGAGCCTCTGATACATATACACACATAGCTTATGCCAGGACACTTTTCTGTGTTATATCATTACATTATCAAGCACAGCTTAACAGTTTACAGATTATTTCCAATACTGACATTCTACATGCATCATAAACATTGAAGAACACAAAACATAATCAAAATTACCGAACATAAAAACTGCAGCAGACCCAAACTGCAAAGTTTTTGGTTTGTATCTGTGATCATATGTTCAAATCCCTAAGGACTTTTTCCACAGACTTCAGTAACTGACAGATGAGGCTAAAGGCAAAAGATGCTCTGCAGGGGGAAATAGCATAACTTTAATATTTTATTTCTGTTCTTTACTATTTAATTAATTTCAGGGCTTATTCTTCAGAAATTATTTGCAAGCAGGTCATGTCTATAGCCACGATTTGTAAGAAAATGTATGATACAAGTCAATGCCCCACCCTGGCAGTCAGTGCTTCCCCAGACATCTGTGCAGCTAAGCACAGCACAAAAGGATCTTGCTGCTCTTGCTGTGAAGCTTCCAGATAATTATTTCTTCAGCTAAAACCTCTCTGTTTAAGAGAGGTCTTCAGAAAAGAATTTGTTGACATGAGAACCTCCAAAGCTCAGTTTGTAAGCTGCAAAAAATGTGTAGCCATTTGGGAAACATAACTAGTAATACCAATTTTATTTTTTTCCAGACAGAATTCTAAGGATTTTGAAAACCACCATAGAGTGCAAATGCAAACAAAAGACACTGCTACATTAAAATGTATCTTTAGGACTTAGAATACAATAACATCAAATACACAATTGCCAGCTTGTTTTTCAGCATAGTACCGAGAAGAGGAACCTACTGGAACAATGAAAAGGAATACCTGATTCAGAGATTTCTTTACAATTGTGAAGTGCTGTTAATAGAATAAAAGGATTACTGGAGATTTTAAAGAAAGATATGGGAGTTTTGTGTGAGGTTTCAGCTGTCCAGAAATTGTATGGTAGCAACTTTGCAGTTTAAACTAAAATCAAATTTTTTAACTTTCAGAGTTTTCACTTATTTTATAAAACATTTAATACCTCTAATCACGTAGCTGTTCTCAATAAAAAGTTAAAAGGCAAGGAAATAAAAAGCTTTCCAAATCTCAAGAAACTTTTAGGGGTAGAAGCTTTGGACCACAGAAGGGTGGCTTTCAGCATCATGCTTAGGCCCACTTCCCTATCATCACCTCCATTAAGAGTGTAATATTGAGTTCCCTGATGGACTAAGACAGAAATCAAGCTGCTTCCTGGTTTGTTCTCCACCAACTCTCAAATTAATTCTTCCCATTTGTCCACAGGCTGAGAGATTTTTACATTCATTAAGCCACCCACAAGGATCACCAAGACCTTTGTTTTATGTAACCACAACTGCTCCAGTGCCCATGGTTGGGTATGTATTCAGACTAAAACGCTCAACAACAGAATGGAAAAAAAATATTAAAGTACTTTAATTTTACCATAAGAGAAGCATACTGAGATCAGTTCAGGTAAAATACACCTCAAGTTTTATTGCAAGTAAGTGTTCTAGGTGAATTGTTTTTACTGCAAAATGTATTATGTTTTTTGCCTAGCTGATGTGTGTTAATTACTCAAATTAAATAAAAAAGATAGAGAGCACTAAAGACCAGTTCTGTGCGACCTAAGCTCTGACACTTAGGTTTGTAAATGACTATGACAAGATGTGAAGGGAAACTCCAGATTTGACACAATGAAACAAAGACAGTCAATTCATTCAAGAGGCTAGAAAAGGGGGCTGTATCATGTAGCAGCTGTAATTTCAAAAGATAAAAAAAAAAAAGAAAATAATCCACAAACAAATGCCTAACATTAGCATCTTAGGTATAAATGTTGTGTTACTGAAATAACAGAAAGGCACCTGGTAAACAGTATTCCTGAAAAATGAATTAGCATTAAACAAACAAAAAAATCCAACCCCACCCACTCCTGCATTTAAAGCCTCCCTCAGTTCCTTTGGGGGAAAAGAAAGAAAAAAAAAATACTAGGAGTGAATGACACAGAATTTTTTTCAATACTTCAAAAGCAAGTGCATGGAACAAATCCATAACCTTCTGATGTGTTGTTCTCTATTTCTGGAGTTGTTCACAACGCACACTTCCATTCTGTCCTTCAGTCAGATGAACTCAAGAACAAAGAGGTTTAATTCAGTCAGTGAGTGGGAGGTATTAGACATAAAGAAGAGACATCTGTCACCTCCTGACTGGTGAGCAAGGTGGCTGTCAGGAGCTCAGGCAGCAGGAGAGAGATGGCTGAGAATGGTTTGGATGTTAAGTTTAAGTCACTGTCATAACATTCAGAAGTCATCAGTAAAGCCAGATACTAGGGCAGGATTCAGTGCTGCCTTTGCACACTAGCAAGCTGAAAAACCTTGGCAACTCATCACACAAGAGAGGCCAAATTCCAGAGGCAGCACTGGGTAGGCACAACTGCACCCACTTCACCAGCTATATTAATCATGTGGTGATAGAGAGAAAAACCTCTGGAAATGTTGGAGAAAGAAACAGGAAGAGAGCCTGTGCCTGGGACTCAGCGTAGTGAAGGGCTCATGACCATTTAAGTGCCACAGCGAAGCAACATTCGAAATATATTTTTCAGAAGAAAGCAACGTGTTTTTAGCAAGTTTCAAGCCTTTCTCCATGGTGATCTCAGTCCTTTCTTACGTTCTCTTTGTCCTGGTGCAGAGAGTGATTCTTCTGCCAGATCATTAATTATAATGACAGGTTTGACCAAGCAGGGCTCACCGCAAAGGCCTTGTGGATGCCGTGGAAACCCGGCATCCCTTGCCATTTACCCGCACCCTTTGCTCACAACCGGCCAGCCCAATTCCTGCCCTTGCTTGCCCACACACGTACTCTCTTAAACACCGGGACAAATCCCTTTCCAAGCCTCCAAGTGTATGTTTGCCACACCCAGCGCCAACATCCAAAACAGCGCTGCCAGCCCTGAGGGACTCGTGTTTTCGGGGAGGAAGAGACCTCTCTGACTCTCATCCTTTTAACTCTCTGGCAATTATTCACACCTCCCACGAAACACTAAATCCAAACTTCAGTGTTTTCTGAAACAGGGAGCCTCTGGGGATCCAGCCTTCCTCCCGGGCCACCTCCTCCTTGCTGCTGATTCTATGTCCTAGCGTGACTGGAGGGACCCCTTTGGAAGTTTCCTCCCAGATTTGCCCTAAACCGGGACGCTGGGCTGCGGGCCCTGGAGAGGAGCGGTGGGNCGCTCAGGGCAGCGCGGGCGGCCGGGGCCGCCTCCGCCGGTGCGGGGCCGCAGCGGGGGCCGTGGGCGCTGAGCGGCTCCTGCGGGTCGCAGAGTGGGGGACAGGTTGTGAGGGACCACGGTGGAGAGTCTGGTCCAGCCGCCCTGCTCCAGCAGGGTCATCCCAGAGCACGTGGCACAGGGTTGCGTCCAGACGATTCTTGAATGTCTCCAGCGAGGGAGACTCCACAGCCTCTCTGGACAGTCTGTTCCAGTGCTCGGTCACACTCACAGTAAAATTCTTCCTCACATTCCGGGGCCACTGCCTGTGCAGCAGTTTCTGCCAGTTCCATTGCTGGGCACCACCGCGAGGAGCCTGGATCCGTCCTCTTGGCACTCCTCCTTCAAATACTTATGGACAACGACGAGGTCCCCTCGCAGCCGTCTCTTTTCCCCATCTTTTTTTGTGGTGTTTTTCAGGCTGACTAATATTTTGGCAACGGAGGTTCTCCATCTCCCTGGAAGAGGGCTGAGGCAAATTAGCCCTGCATGCAGTCTCCGCAGCACTTGATTGGCCGCCCTGCTGAAGTGTTTGTGGAATGAAGCACACAAATCCGCACTTGTGAGCGCGCTGTCCACAGCAATGCTCTGCTGCCTAGTGAAAGGAGCCGTGCGACATTAATGTTAAAACAAGGACAGAACGTGACAGCATAAAACCCCAAATTTTTGTAGAGGGCTGGAAACACTTGCCCAGCTGGTTTGCCAAAACCTCCAGTGAGAGAGAGGCTTGTGATGAACCAGTGATGAAGGGTTGGGAATTTCGATTTTTAAGCAGAAACGTGTAATTTATTGCTTATTCATTGCTAAGAGAGAAATTACAGGGCTGCTTTTAAGCACGAGAAAAGCCTGACCTAGAACTTAGTTGGTGCACCCTTGAGGGCTCTCATTGCATAGCCCATATTCGAGTGACTCAGAGCTAAAGAAAGGCAAGCTGGCACCTGGGGAGGTGTTCATGGCCAGTGACCTACCTCACTGTGGCATTCAGCTTCTTCTGTTGCCCGAGGCAACACATCTGGGAGAAGTGCTAAATGTGTAAGAAATTTAAACATCTCTTGCTGCATTGATACTTTGAGGAGGAGGGTTTTGTTTTGTTCATTGTGGTGTTTTTTTGTTTAAACAAATTATGATTGTGTCTTAGAAAGGACAATGTGATTGGTTGTGTGCAAACTATTTAAATTTTCCTCTTTTCCCAGATTATTTTCACCACTGAAAAGGAACTGCAATGGAGAGTACAGAATCAATTATTTTTCTTGTATCGTTTTCCATACTGCTGTGTGAAAGTTACCACCATGGGGTGGAGACAGCTACTGTTGTGCATTCATCGGAGAGAGCTTTTCCAGAAAAGACAGTGGGTGTTAATAGTGACTTGGCAGGACTAATACAGAAGTTGCACCTTCAAGAGCTTTTTAATCGTTATGGAGAAAACAACTCTCTCTCAATTGATGGGTTTAGAAAACTGCTACAGAACATAGGTATAGATAAAATGAAAAGGATTAAAATAAGCCACGATCACGATCATGATCATGACCACAGTCATGACCATCATGACCATGACCACGATCATCACGCTCATCATAATCACGTTTCATTGAGTAAAAGCTCTGAGAAGACTGCTTGTCCAAACCACGAATCTGATGCTAGCAAAGACCACAGGAACAGCCACGCAAAGGAGCCTCATAAAGCCGAAAGCGTGGAGCGGCAGCAGAACTTTGTGCGCAGCAAGAACACGGTTCATGAGATCACCGCGTCCGTCATCACCGCTTCCGCAGGCGGCCACGCCGAGCTCCAGAACGTGCAGCCCGGAGAAGTCAAGATGGTTGTTCGTGTGGGTGCGGCTGGCCCTGGTGCCTTTAATGTCACAGGGGGCCGCAATGCCACCTGGCTTGGTGCCACGAGGACAAACGAATCTCGTGCTTCTCCGAAGGAAGAAGGGAGCTACCTCTATTCTAAACTGAAAAAACAAAGCACTCAGGAGGTGAGGCTGGTTCTGTTGTAGTCTCAGAAATCCCGATCCACCAGGAATGTTGTCACAGCTTATTTTTCAGGTGCTTATTGTTTACCTGGGTGCAAGTTTTGTGGTGTAACAATACCCGTAGTCAAACACATGCAAACAGCTTTCCTTGGAACTTAACTTTTTGAGTTAATATGGTGTTATTCTCACAAGCTCAGAGGATAACTAAGTATAGACATATACTTGGTTTAATGTATTTATGATTTATATATTTAACTGTCACTAAACCTGAAAAACGTCTACAGTTTTAGACTTGCAGTTTTGCCTTAAATCGGGAATCTGCCTAGTTTTTCTATTAATGGAGTGAAAGTAAAAAAGCCCAGTTAAGGTATTGTGATTCTTGACAAAGCTGTCTCACATTGTGATAGTGTAAGAACTGTCCTCTAACACCTTCCACTCCCCATCTAACAACTGTATGTAAAAAACAACTCTAAAAAAGACTGTGGCAAAATGCCACGTTACTTTAAAATAGTATAAAATTAGCACTGATAAAAAATATAGTTGTGTTGTAGACATTTTTCTTAAAACAGTCAGATCCTTTTCCATTAAAGGCTTTAAGAAGCAAGCAGGATCTTAATGTTTGCAGCCGTTCCAGGTAATTCTGAGTAGGTGTTGTGTGGCATGTGATGGTGGGTGCTGAATTCACAAGTTGTTGCTGTGTTCTGCACTGTTGAAGCAGAAGTACTGCTGGTTTTTAAACCCACTGAGACTGTGTGTAGGTTGTACAGTGGGGAGCTATTTACTCAAGGGAGTGTATGTACAACATGCTCTGTACAAGATGTTCCACAGCAGCCACTGCTACAAAAAGGCATTTGACCTTGTTAATGCTTCCTTAGGTGGCCTTTAAAACTGACTGAAAGGTATCAGGCTTTTTCTGTTTGTACATCAAAGCATCTGACCCATTTGTGCTGAGAATGAGTAATAATTATACGTCATCTACCCAGCAGCCTCCCAAACCAGCTTTCTGGGGCAGGATTGGGATGGAAGTACATTTTTTACTAAAAGGGTTTGTTACTGGTTTTTGAGTTGTGTTGATATAACTGCTTTCATGTGGTGCATTTCAATTAAGATTGGGATGTGCAGTCCTTTTAAGGTGTATCGTGGTATTTTGGTCCTGGTTAATCTTTAACATGTCTCTTTCCACAGTGCTCCAATGCATCCAAACTGATGCAGTCGCATGGAATAGGCACTCAAGTACTGTTGACTGCTACAGAATTTAGTTACCTCTGTCCAGCTCTTATTAACCAGATCGATGGCAAATACTGCATAGTCCATGCTACTAGTGAAAAAGCTGAAACTCCTCCAAAAAGTTACTCTCTGCAAATAGGTAGGCTGGGTTTTTTTTGTAACATCGAAGCTTAATGGAAAAACATTTGTTGGTTATAAATCCAAGAAACCTATTCTCACAGTTGTAAGAAGTGTCATTTTCTTTTGGCACTTCACCAAGATTAGAGAGAAATCTTTGTGGCATACCTTTTGTTAACATCTGATTAGTTGAATGATCAGGTGTGTTTGATAACAGAAATGTTAAGCAAACGAAATCATGTACAGCTGTTACTTACTGTTGTTACTGTTTTATTTTTTATTTTTTTTTGCCAGCTTGGATTGGTGGCTTTATATCCATCTCTGTCATCAGCTTTCTTTCCTTGCTGGGTGTTATATTGGTACCACTGATGAATCGAGTGTTTTTCAAGTTTCTTCTGAGTTTTCTTGTGGCACTGGCTGTTGGGACCTTGAGTGGAGATGCCTTCTTACACCTCCTTCCACATGTAAGTGTTAATTACTGTTTCATTCATTCATTATCTCAAAGCAGAGAAGTTGACAGCTGTATGTATTAGTGCCCTATTGGTTCATACCCGTTTGATGAGTCACTTCTCAACGCTGTTATGCAGGTTGTTTGATGGAAAGGTTTTCCATTTGGAACATCTGTATAATTAATTTCACAGTCTTTGAAAGTTCAAGAGCTTCATAACATTATCCCACTCTTTATTTCCTGCTCTTAGTCATATGTGCTGCCACGTCCATTTATTGTTCTTTGAATACAAGAGTTTTGCATAAATTTTCTTAGTGGTTTATTGCAGTGCTGCTCCCCCCCC